TTCCCCAGCCAGCAAGGCTGGCTGGGGAATTCTGGGAGTTGAAGTCCACACATCTTAAAATTGCCAAGGTTGGGAAACATCGGCCTAGCCACTCAATACAAGTGAATTGCAGCTCATGAAAATGGATGCCTTTTAACAAAATTTATTAGTCAGAAAAGGTGCTGCTAGACTCCTCCTGATTTTTTGCCACTGGAGACTAATATGGCTCTCTTCCTGCCATGAAATATGGAGCAATTAAAAATTTCAAACTTGGAAAGGAGTGTAGCAGAGTTGTATACTAGCCACTTACTTATTTAACAAATGCAGAATGTATCTTGAAAAAGGCTGAAGTAGAAGAAATTGAAACTAAAATTGCCAGGAGACACATCAGCAACCTCAGAAATGCTGATGATACCACTTTTATGGCTAGAAGCGAGGAAGATTTAAGAAATCTCTCATTGAAGGTAAAGAAAGAGTGCAAAAGCCAGTTGGCTGTTTAATATTTCTTTAAAAATTCTATTTTGTCAGTAGACAACATCAATGGAGTACAAATAGGTAGAGAAGAGGTGGAAGTAATAGCAGACTTTATTTCCTTAGCCTCAAAAATTCACAGGGATGGTAACCGCAGCTATGAGATAAAAAGATGTCTAGTACTGTACTTGGGAGACGGTGAAAATGTCAAAATATTATGGTGCAGAGACATTACACTGACAAAAAAGATACGCATTATCAAGGCTATTGTTTTCTAAATTGTAATGTATGACTAGAAAGCTGGATCATTAGAAAAGCTGCATGAAGAAAAATGAATTGTGGGTCTGGAGAAAATTGTTGAGAATACCTTAGATGGATAAGAACAAATACAGTGTTTGCTTTGTTTTTACTTTGCTGTACACTGTCCAAAGTTGTTTGATTGGGAAAGTTAATAAGTACAATAAATAGATAAATACTAAAGTAAAACCAGACGGCTTACTGGAAGCACTCTGGAAAAGTGAAGCTACTTTGGATGCATAAAACAAAGGCAAGCGTCATTGGGAAAGAGCCTATTGCTTGGAAAAATGTAAGGCAACTGAAAAAGAATCCAACAGAAAGGTGGGTAGATATTATGGCTGATGACTCAAGCCTAAGGAGCTTATGAGAATTCAACAAAGCGATTACTGACAGACAACCTTGGTGAAATGATGACCATCCAGCCACAAAGAATCAGAAGTAGCTGAAAGAATGAGCAACAACTTAAACCACTGTTTCTCAACCTGAGCAACTCTAAGATATGTGGACTTCAACTCCCAGAATTCCCTAGCCACCATGGCTGGCTGGGGAATTCT